GCCACGTTCAAGCGTTCGGCTCAAATAAAAACGGGAATTCAGCAACGTTATGGTTGACCCTGAAAGGAGTGAGGTAGCGACGCAAGGTGGGTATAACTTCTGAAACAGCAAATTTTACAAATTACCTTCCCTTCCAGCACTTACCCCATGGAAAGTGTGAAGGAACTTTCCAATCTCGGCAATACCACCTTCTCCACTACACACACGACCCCTTCAAATGATATCACCACCAACCCCATCCATAAATCACAAATTGGACCCCCTTGGGGATTTCAGGGTGAATATTGCTTGAGGATTCCTCAACGGCACGTCGAGGATTTTCGCCTGATCCTTTACGTTCTCGCGCGCGGATATTCACTCTCGCCACCCGCGAGCCGTCTGTGCTCTCCGCGCGTACATTCACTCTCGGCACTACTCTCGCACAGCAGAGAGCGATGGTCGGAATTCCTCGACCGTTATTCACCCTGTTTCCCAAACGGTCATTTACTCTGAGCGAAGCTGTTGCAAATAATTGTTGACTCTATTGTATATACGTAGTGAATGTGTTTGATTTCGTTCAGTACTTGTTCACCCAAAAAATTATCTGTACTACTAGAAGGTACTAAACAACAATACTGCGTTTACAGCTTTCTTCAACGAGCAGACCATTTTGAAGATAAAAACTCACAAAATGGAATACACGAGTGCCGAAAACCAAGCATTTTCCGCTCTTCTATTCTTCAAACTCAGTACACCATAGGCCAAAATGGTGAGATATTTTCACTGGACAACCTCATTTTGAGAGTGCGCTGCCCACCCCGCTTTTCATTCACACACCTGCTGCATTTTCTTTTCAGACCCTGAGCCATAATGAGACTGGAGTAGTGCTTTTTTACGGACTTCGGTGTACGCCCCACCCACTGAGCTAAACTCCTCTTAGCCCGTGTGAGCTTCTACACTCTTTCCCATGTCCAAGTGCTAAAACTGCAAGTAGAAATTTCTCGTTAGGTTCGCTAAATTTTCTTTTCAGCCTGGTCATTGAATGATTTCCAAACTCACCATCAATCTTCAACTAGACAAAACGTTTAAAAATCCTTCAAAAGAGAAGAGCGACAAAATAAATAGCTTTTTTCGAAAATGATATCATTATATTGAGAAAAAATAAGCAAACTTACGAAAAATCCTTCAATTCGAGACGGTCTTTCGACAGCATTAATCCTGCTTTAATCGCAAGCCGAAAAGATTGATGTGCCACTTCTGCTATTCTTCTCAAGACATTCCTTCAAAATGATGAAAAATGATCTTGAAAAAGATTCATCACAATTAACATAAAAAAAACCAGAAAATTCTCACGCATTTCGTGCATCATCAAACTTGCTGTCAATGATGACGAGTCGTCCAGACACCGTCTCCTTGAAATAAGTGAAGAATAATCTCGTTCACATGAATGAGATCAGAACCCACATATTCATAGTGATGATTGAATTTTTCAACATTAGCAAGATATAGTACGTAGGTTCCAAGAGTCAAATCTTGTTCTTAGCGTCTCTTGCACCAGCCAATCAATCTAATCAAAGTGGATAAGAGAGTGTAAGGCAGGACAGCACTGCGGGAAACGAAAAGGATTGCAAAGCTGCAACAGCTAGTGATTGAGCAGGCCAGATCGCATTCGATACCACTACGATTTTTAATGAAGGTCAAATGCT